AGTGAGAAGAATCTTTGAGAAAGTTTCTATATTTACAGCTGTCACTCATCAAGCAACTTATTGTGTCGCACAAAGCAGCCGAAAAGAAAGGAAGTAAGAGAAATGGGAAGAGGGTTTGGTCAGTACATCAGTGCTAGGCACGTCTCATTGAAAACGTGAAAAATAGGGAAATTGAATGTAGGCGCCGCCGCTTCGTCGCTTTTCCATAAACTTCGAGAATAAAGTAAGCATAAGTGCATTGAGAGTGCTTGCCCTGTCTTCTGACGAATTTCCCGAGCCACGGTCGTCGTCCTTTTGCTTCTATCTCTTCAACGTTTGTATAATACGATTCTCTCTTTTGTAATTTTATGTACCCCTCTTTTGAGTATTTTCCCCGCAAATCGACCAACTCGTCCTCAATCACTTTCCCTTTTTTGCAAAGCACTCGCTTTCCATTGTTTCATACATCACCTTGTCTTCTGATATTTTGATTTCTTCGACCTCTACTGGTGCTCTATACTGTTTTCGTTAGGTACGTGAACGATGAATTATATTGATATGTATGTGAATTGATATGATCCACGAAACTCCCCTATTTTTATTTGGGAACGATGGAACATCAGCGATTGATAGTTACATTTGCACGAGCCTGTGACTCAAGGTAGTTTCGCTGACTAATCTTCGCACTTCATATTTTCTCCTCAAATTTTTGAGAAGACGAAAGTATCTGATAAGACAGCAGAACCACGACGAAAGTAGAGCACAATTGATAGTGAGGTTTTCCGAATAATCATAGTCTTCTTTCTTTTTGAGATAGCTAGCAATACCTTTGGCAATGACCTGACGAAATTCAGATCTGTCTATGTCGAATTTTCTCGATGAATTTTCTCATCAAGACATTCTACAACCTAGGAGGCACGTACGGTAAGCATTTACGGTGTTAGACCATGATCAACTTCCACTCGACTTGCCATGAGCTCTGATTTGTTTATGTGCTAGCTTGACCTTCCCAAAATTTTAAACTTTATTGAGCTAAACTTTTGCCTTCTTCTTCATTCACTTTTACCCTCTTCGCCTTCGTCAGAGCCTGAAAGTCGAAAACCTAGCTGAAATCGATCCTCACTTAAAGCCAGACAATACTCAACACAGTTCTTCGATCCGTAAGACCCCCGGACTCGATTAATGTAAAAGTACGTGGCTTACCTTGATCCAAGTCCCCGGAGGGCTAGATCGATTACCTGGAAATAGATTCCTGTGTGCAATGAGAAAGCCCATCTTCTTTCTGACCTCACCTTACTTCAAAAATCGACGTAAACAACAGTACTGATGTGAATTCTAATGCGTGTTGCACCCGTGAATCGGTTACACTACTGAGAATTCTGGAGATCCAACGATTTCGGACGGAAATGAGTACCTGGCTGGCTACCTCGTTGGATCTTATGAGTGTCAACCTCTATCATCCCTTTCTCCTTCGATCCACTATTCCAAAAATTGCTGAACTCTTAATGTTTTCTGTGAATTATATTTTTCCCCTTCATAGAGATTTGCTAACAATATCTTGGGAATTATGTTTTGATCACTCGCTTGAAATTGAAGAAGAAACCGTTCGTTCTCATATTCACGTATTCACTGCGTTGAATGTATGATTGAGAATCCTTAATTGTTTTTGGAATCCCCAGAAATGTTAAAACTGCTTTCTCCTCTCACCATATTCTATTGGCTTTTTGGGAATTATTATCTCAATTGTGCCTTTCTTTAAAAAGAGGTGTAGAATACTTATCGTTCCATTTTACCTTCCAATTATGATTATTAATATCTCAAGATAAAGATCAATTAGATGTATAGCCGAAGCCCGATAGAGGACCCTATGCTATATTTAGCTACCAATCGGGTCGCCTGGCTTGCGCAGGGCCCCACTTATTACTTTTACAAAATATTTAGAAAATGTTGTCAGGGAAAAGCATAGTTTTTATGGAGCACTGAGGGCTAGAATGAGGAGACGAAGGGGCAGCCGACCTTACCTGTGCTTCGAGTCGATTCTATACAAAAGAGTATAGTTTTTACCTGAGCCTCAAGAGGGGGAGGGGGGGAACTCGTGCAAAAAGCTAGGGGGTAGGGCAATGTTCCATCGGCTCTCCCACCTCGGTGCTGTTCCCCTCCTTATGTTTTTTTTTGTGCTGTTTGTTCATACGCTACATAAGGTATTAGGTTTAGAGAATTGAACTCAATAAAGACGAACCAATTCGCAAATCATGCACTGTCCAATTTATGCGTAACAGTGCTGATGGAAATACTAAGGTAAACGTCCACTGTATATTCGAGGCTCACGATTTCGGTTCGCGCCCCATTCCTTTCGTGCGCGTCTGGCACCCACCGGCGGGTGCCATGGCCCTAGGAGGAACTCCTTTCTCTTAACTTAATAAACTTAGCTTTACGCATAACAGACGCATCAGATCAAATTTTATCTTATAATTAAACAGAGACTCAGACTTAGGATTGCGCTTCGGGTTTGGAAGCAATGTACATAGGTTAGAATTTTGGCAATAGTGTAAGCAGTGGGAATTCATATAGCGTCCAAGTAACTTGAGCATGAACAGATCTACCGCGCGGTCACATATTCGCGAATCAGGTCACGAATCGCGAATCCGCGAACTATGTACTGCCTCCAATGCTTCCAAGACACACACGAATCTTGTCCAAGTATTTAACCCTTTCCAGTACCACAAGCTCCTATAAAACATTTGCGTGGATCATGTTGAATACAAATACCATGAAGTCTGTCAGTGAATATGAAAATATTAAATAAGTTTCGAATGTGGAAATAAAGGGAAAAACATGGTGGCACAGAACATTGGGTGCCATGGTCTCACGCGCCACTCCTAGTGGCACCCACCGGCGGGTGCCATGGTCGTCAAAGGGTCAATAAACAGTGTTCTAGCCTCGCATCAAAAATACGGAATGGGATCAACGCAATGCAATGGAGACACAGCTGGATCTGCTCACTAGCGCTGAACAAGGGGGGTCTTCAAAATAATCAGCCATTGCTTTTGTTATGGATGACTCATAAATACATAGGTCTTGCTCGGTAATAAGATCGGTTGCGACCCACAAAGCCTCATCACATTTAGCAGGATTGGGAAGATTTCTTAATCAACACAGTGACCGTGGATGGAGTTGTTTACTCCACATGGACAATTCATGAAATTGCAGCTGGATTCGACAATGGCAAAAAAGTCGTCAACAGAGCTAGAACGGAATCTTCATAAATTAGAAAGCCCTTGTATTTGGAGGGGCTTAAGAGATGATGTGTGATAAAAGTGCCCATCTGGCGTTTCGATAGTTTCGCAGGAGCCAAATCAAGCAAATGCGAGAAATAGCCGAAGTTATACCCGAACACATTCCCTTAAAAGAGAAGACTACTGGCTCTAACGAAATAGGACATCAGTGCTGTAGATGCTATGGAGTCAGCATGATAAAACAGTCTATAAGCGATCTGGTTGCACTCGCCTATTTCTACCATTCTTCTCCTTTTACATTTTGCACTCAACGAACTCACGTGAGGTGAGCATCACCTTATAGCTCATCAGGAAAGAAGGGCTCGTTTAAAGGCTGCGGTGATAAATGTTGGCACGGATGGCGGTGGGCTGGGGCAAAGTGGCGCAGCACCACCTCGTTGTCCAGAGATTGGAACCCAAAATGAAACCCGGCTTGCTCAACGGAGGCCTGAATTATTTCAGGATCTATTGGTGTCAGGCTCGTCTGGCTTTTAGTTTTCATTTGATTCGCGATACGAAGCTCTGTGTAGTCCCTGGTCATCCCGTGCATTGTACAGGACACACACGTGATCCAAACTCCACTACAATTCTAAATAAATTCCTGCTCTCGCCTTCTTTCATCTAATGTGATGGCTCTATCTATGTCAGCATCCTACATGCCCCTTGATTACGAAGTGTGGGTGCGTATGGGTTTCCCATTGTTTATTCGGGAGCTCTCCGGAATCCACTGTGCTCTGGGCATGAACTGGCCCTCATGGCTTAAAGGCACCGTTTACGATAAATTAGGGTACCCTTTTTGACGGGAATTGATAGAACTACTCTAGAATAAAGCGATAACAACGAAAAAAGCGCAAAAAACGATGAGCAAAAAGAAATAGAAAGGGTCAAAAAAGAGCTGGAAAGGGGGGTTGGACGAGTTTCACATTGGAAGAACGGGGGTTGAGGGAGTGTTCGAGCGTGTGCACGAAGGTGACGCAATGTCTGCAATAGCAGACAACACACCCAATTTGCCTGACAATCTGACTGGCAGGCTCTGGCGATTTGCCAACCACGTCATCGATTTTTCACCAACTTCGCTCCAATGCGAAAGTGGTTAACGGCAATTAGATTTCGTAGTCAGCCTAGCGAGGGACGGAGGGTGACCGTGGCTCACTCTCCGGCCCCTTATTGTGCCCTATCCAGACCATTTCCGACCTCATTCCTGCACAAATGGTATCAGAGAGGGCGTCGAGTTCAAACCATGTGCAAATCTCCGAAACCATTTTTTCGTGAACAGTGCCTTTAAAGTCTCTTCTTTTCGAATGTTTTTCCCCTAATTTGTGCAGTGGCGTTGTGAACGTATCTGCGGGGGCGTTTCATCATTTAATTGGTACATTCATATCCCCATTCCATGCTACATATTCCTTCCATGAGTTTTGCTTTCAATGGGATTTTTGTTTTCTTTTTAGTTTCACTCAACCCATGATTGATGCCTACTTTTTTGTATTCACTTGATGTATGAATGTTTCATTTACTCAATCTGTATTAGTAGTTTCCGTTCAACGGCGCAGTATGTGCAATAAATAAATAAATAAATAAATCAGTCAATCAATTAATTAATTGATTAATTGATTAATAAAAGCTAAATGCATGGATTCTCCTGAAATGGGATAGACGAACGCCAAAGTCCCTACCTTCAATCTAGGAAGGGCACAACGTTGAACTATAGGGAGGCCAAGATTAGTAGTAAAAATAGTGTACAATCAATCATTCGAGATCATCTTTCGCATATATCCTCCAAATTTCTATTTGATTTGCAATAACGTTGAGGGCGGCTACGGTGTAGCGACAAGTGACGCACGATATGCCGCACACGCGTGACCGTGGATCGAACTGTGGATCGAAACCTACCCTGGCCATGCGATTACTCCATCCCTTGTCGGTCGCTCCAAGGCACAGCTCACGATAAGAGCGGTTTTTGAGGTTTTCCCTCGTATGTGATCCAATGGGATCCAATTCGTTGGCCGGAAGGTCCATCGGTTACCTTTCAAACGTGCTACATGACCGGCCCATTCTCGTTTATCTTTATACATTTCCTGGACAACATCAACAAGGCCACTCCGTCTTCGCAACTCTGTGTATGTAATATGTTCACGAAGTAACACTTTGCGAATTCTGCGTTCCATTGATCTTTGCAAGGACGCTTTCACCTTCATCGGGAGGTCTTCGTCCAGTAATAACCTTGTGATTTTGTTGAAGCTAGTTCAAGCTGCTTTCCTGCTCCTGCTGTACTCTCCGCTGCTGCCTTCTGTGAAGCTTCTGTGAAGCTGGCGGCTAAGGTACTGAAAGCTTTTTACTTCTTCGATGGTCTCGCCATTTATTTTGTCTGTCGCTGTAGGACTGAACTGGTTGTGAATCCACGCCGTTTGACAAAGTCATTTCAAGTCCGATTTCACTCGATTTCATGTGTAGTTGCACAAGACTTTCCTGGAGCTCTAGGGCATCATGTGCGAAAATGACGCAATCGTCAGCAAAAAGCAGATAGGTCAGGTGTTCTCCATCAATCTCTATACCTCCGGTCCAGTCAACATCATTGAACAGGGCTTCCAAAGTTAATGCAAACAATGTCGGAGAAATCGTATCGCCTTATCGAGCGCCCTTGCATAATTCTATTTGACATGGATCATTGAAGAGCTTAATTTCTGTGGTACAGCCACTGTTCAGCTCTTCGAGGAAAACGTCATAGCACAAACTGATACCGTATCTACTCATTGCTTTTAGCATCGCGTTTGCTTTGACCGAGTCGAATCCTATACATAGTCGACAAACGCGATGCATAAGCAGATCCGGTACCCTCCCCATTTTTCGGTAAGTTGGCTTACAACGTGCAAATGGTCAAGTGTGGGATATCCACTTCAAAACCCCGCTTGCTCTCGGCTCACGGCCATGTCCAGATCTCCAACTATGCGATGAAGGTTTATCCTGATGAAGGTCTTATGGACTTGAGACAGCAAAATGATGCGTCTATAATTGTCCAAACTCTCGAGATCGCCTTTTCTTATTATTAGTATCGTCCTTGATTTCTTCCACACCGCCGGAATCCTCTTCTCGTCGCAGTATCTGCTGAAGCGTGCCGCGAGCGCTATGAAGCGAGGTAGTCCACCGGCTTTCAGGTGTTCAGAACGTATTTTGGCGCAACCTGGGGTTTTCCCCGCCTTAATCTGTTTTACTGCATACTCCACTTCTTTCCACATGACATCTGGGACCGGTTCACCTGCAGTGATTTGATCGGCCCTTGCGACGATCACTTTTTAGAAGTATAAGTCGTTAAAGAACTTAGTATATATTTTGTTCGCGCGTTGGCGGTTAGCCGTCCTGACACCTGTATTATCCTTGAGAGCAGACGGTATATGATGCCTCAGGCAAATATCACTTTCTACGAATTTCAGACTGACCCTTCTCACAGCTGTTCCGCGAAAATTCTTATACCTGTAGCGTTCATAGTCTTAATCTTTTCCTTATCGCTTCACAGAGTTCCTTGTAATCCTCGGTTTGCACTCGTCCTTCGGCTTTCATCCACGCTCTCTTCTTCATCATTTGCACTGCTTCTGACGATATACGCCGCCGCCTTGCTGGTTCTGTTGCTGTGCTCGATGCCTTCACGGCCTGCGTTATTTTCTCCACTAGATTTTCGTAGTCATCATCTATGCTATTACCAACACTAATCTGTAGGTCTGACGACGCAATCATCGTTGAATGCATGTCGGCGTTGAAAGTACGTTGTATGAGTGTTTTTCGCGAATATAGAACTCGATTTTCTTTTCTGACATCGCAGAGGATCACCGAGCGTAGAAGTCAGTGATCGGAACCCGGTCGCAATCACACTTTCCCAATAAAGGAGACGTCAGCGAACAGCCTTGGTGTATCGGTAAGCACATAATCAATCTGTCTTGAAGTTTTCGTGTCGGGCTGCTCCATGTCCAAAGACGCTTGGCTTTCTTCTTGAAGAAAGTGTTCATGATCGAGAATTGGTGATGTTCTGCAAACTCTATTGGACGGATTCCGACTACTGCATTGAAATCGCCTTGAACAATAGTGTACGTCGATTTGTGCTTCGAAGCCCCCTCTATTTCCTCGTAGAAGCGCTCAGTTTCGTTATCCTTCGCTGAAGCTGTGGGAGCCTGTACCTGCCCAATTTTGAGCGTTCTTTTCCCAACTTTTGCAACATGGTCTTCAAAACCGCAACTCGTGGGACTGGATATCGCAAGAAATAACGTGCGGCGCCATCTTTGCTTTTATGATGAAACCGACTCCACCTGTTCTGGACACGTTATCAGCTCTTTCTCCCAGCAGAATTTCTTCACCGCTTGCCCACTTCGCTGAGACTGCGCGTGCTCTCCTAGTTTCGCAAACACCGGCGATGTCGGCTTTGATCTTCTCTAGCTGTTGCAGGTATACGTCTAGGAGGGAGTCATTCGATAACGTATTGACTTTGTGCGAAGCGATGTGCACTCCGATGCGTCCGTGGTCCCTATTCTGCCCCTACCTTGGTGTGGGCTTGCGCGAAGTCCGAGCATCTTCGCACGCCCATCTCGGGACCAAAACATACCATTTTCAAAGTTTTATCGGTAGTTGTAATATTTAAATTAAATAGAATAATTGGAGGTCAAGTTTCTCGGAGTAATCTATCCCGTCTGAGAGATGCGCGACGCGTTGATTTCAATTGTGGCAAACTTGGCCCATACAATGAATTGCGGGGGCCAGCAGATGTGGAAGTCAGTGGTTTTACCATGCATACAGTCTGGTACCAATTATTCGACCCCAGCGGGATGGAATGCTTGGTTTGCCTGAGCAGATATTGATCAGGGATTCGAACTGGTGACCATGCGTGTGTGATAGTTCGCTCGTTGCAACACATTACGTCCCACCCTCCTATTGAAAGGATTATGAGTTTCTATTTACATTTGTTCACAGCCAGCGGAAACCAATAAAAACGGAGGCACCAGCTTGACTGGCCGAAAAGGGCAGGTTCAAACACAATACAAAGGATATCTCTGTTAAGCATTTGAAATGCTGCTATCTATATCTTCTAATAATTTGAACTGTGACTTCACCCTAAATTTTTCATTCCGTAAATTCATCGACAATTCTTCTGTGAAGGCAAGACGACTCTGCCCGGCTTGAATCAATGACGAAGCTGAAAATTTCATGGTTCTAAATTGTTTTTCTGTGCATTTGTTTCAAGCGCGCTTCAGACTGATCGGCTCTCTATTCCAGCTTCCGGCCTCCTGTGCTCCCACTTGCTAGTTCGAATTATGCTCCGAACATAGTCTGAGCCCCCCGTTTTAAGGAATGCTATTCCTGAAAGTACTCCATTTTACTTGTGTACGTACTCAGCCTACTGTTTTCTGTACTCTCCTATGTGGTGTTATTGATGGATAATAACGTCACAATCATCTTTAGGTGTCTGACGATACAAGGTTCCAGGCATATAATTCTGTGGATACGTTCCCATCTTTGACAGCAGCCCATACAATGTCAAGTAGTGTTATAGTTCTCCGATAGCAAGCTAATAGCGAGTTAATGTGGATGCTTTCCAACCATCATGCAGCTCTCAGCACCCATCTGTAGTGCACTTCTACTTCGATTCATTTTTTCTTTATTATACTGCAGTTTGTTGTATTAATATGATCATGAAATTGTAGTTGGCGCACCTGAGCGTGTACCAAATAAATAATAAGTAAATAAGTAATACAAGCTTTATACAGAATGTAAGCCTAGGTGTGACTGTCCCGTAGTGTCACGATGTGGCTCCCGACTGAAATGGACTGGCCACATTTGCGGTTTTAAACCAGGCCAGGGCAGAGGTGGTGTTGCGACAGGTGGCGCTCGCACACGTACTGCCACGGGAACGAATCCCGGATCCGCCTGGACCAACCAGGCCCCCCACCCTTCCGAGGTCGGTTAGCTGGTACCAGGTCGTGTGGGAGGATAAAAGCACTGGCTTGTACATTGGCTGGCAATCACAAGTCATTGCATAAGCCACATACGCATCCATTGCGCCGCTGCGATTCTAAATGGACGTCGAATGCGTGGGCGCATCCCTGAGACCAGATTGATTGACGCCCGAAGACTTTATCCTGAGATCCTAGGATATATCAACAAGCATAGAGATTACTTCTGGTGATGATTACAAGTCTCCAACAAAAACCCTACAAGAAAATTTTCAAATTTTGTTTATCTCTTCTTTTCGAAGTTCAGCACTGCGTACTTTCAGAAACTTACCTACAAAAATTACCTCGATTATACTAATTGGCCCCATCCAGGCAATGTAAACATTCGTTCGCAACATTTGCATTACATCGAGGCATACTGATTGGTACCGGATTGTGTAATAGGATCCTGGCATTATTGGCGTTGAACCAATAAAAGGTTGTCTTAGCAATGCTCTCACCTTACCGAACAAACCACGAATGCGTCTACAATGCAAAACTGCTACTTACCCAGTTTCTTCTATGATCTTTGTTTCGCTAATATGACATTTATTTATATCAATTGCTGAGAGGCGATCGGAAGCAGAAAATGAGGTGGGAGAGGGGAAGGGAACGACTGGAGAGGAGTGTGGTCGCTTGCTTGATGAAGATAAACTAAAAGCGGTGTCGAGTACCTTGCAAAGGTTATCTCTCGAAGCACAAGTAGAGGTGGGATTGAGACGGTAACTCGTTAAAAAAAAGCGCTATAGGGCAGTCTCACCACGAAAAACGGCATGAGGAGGAAGCTGCTCTGAAAAGGGGCTTAAAGTTCGTTTGAAACGCCCCTGTCCCAAGGACACCCACTGACAGGGGTGTCCGACATGTTTCTAAAGGCAACGCTGCGAGATGAACACTGTCGTAGGTTTAAGGATATAGTCACTCTTTCTATTATTCTCAGATTCTCCATAGTAAAAACATCAAGGAGGGCCAGATTTTTTGGCTTCCTAATATTTTTTGTTTATTTCTCCACTTTTGGTATGAATGTTGTCATTCTTTTACTGGTTA